TGAATATTATGGAGTATATATGTGCATGTAGAAAACATAATCATTGATTATAAAAGTAAAAAATTTTGAATTATGAAAAATTAAATATTAATTTATAAATTAAAAATATCTCTAAATAATACCATATATTTAGAAATATTGTCTATAAATTCGAATTCGTGATGCATTTCTAAAAAATATTATATTTTTTAAGATTGATATAAATTATATATTTTCTAAAATAAAAAGTAATTTTTTTATAAGGAGTGCGTTTTTTCTTTTTTTGGTCAACATGAGAAAAAATGCACATTGTTTACTGTGTAAAATAAAAAATTATATAAAGGTAGTTTTATTGGTATTTTTTTTTTAAATAATAAGAGCTTATAATAAGACTACCATTCAATTGTTTTATTAAATATCATATCCTATGATATTATCTGGCGATATTTGAACCAGCTTGTAAAGTATATTTTTATCATTCCTTTGTGTTATTAAATTGAATTCTGGAGAATCCAAAATTTTCATGTTTGAACATTACTAAAAATAATTAACTTTCAAATACTAAATAAGCTATTTGAAGAAGTGTCACAATCCTAGTACCCCAGTTATACTATTGTTTAAAAAAACAGTTAAACATACACATGGAAACCTAATTTTGTAGTATGACTGCATTAATGTACAAGAATTATTTGCAGTGTACATTTTTCTTTGGAATAATTTATATAATTACATATTTGATTATGTGTTATTCTTCCAGATCCATCTGAGCTAAATTTTTTAACTGCCAACTTGTTTAATGCAATTTTTTCTGTTTTGCATGCAACCTGCTATTGTTGTCATCTTGTTGCACACTATTTTCTGATAGTTTTAGGGTTATTATGGACCCAAATAAATTTTGACTCCAACAAAATGCACAAGTACATACTTTTGAAAGTAGAAAATTGTGACTTCATCAAACTAATATCCGAGGACTCCTACCGATACAAACCGCTTATTATCAGTGGAACTTAAACACAACGTTGCTCACTTGGAAATATGAAAAACTCGGCTTCTCCGAAAAAGAGTCCAAACATGGACCTCGAATCAGATTAAAAACCGATTGAACTGATCACTAACAATGTGGATCCACAGCTTGCAAATCAAAAGCCCTACTCCAGCCTTGATTGTTGTGTGTGTGTGTGGGTGTGTTTGTTTGTATCCCCTGCATTCCTCATTGCGACGACGAGATTGTTGGGCAGATTTGTGGTGTGGTTTTGAACACCGATCTGCAGGAAACCACCATCAGGGCAACAGTCGTGTTGATCTCGGCTTGTCGATCTAGACTCGAGGGTTGTTTCTGTCACCCTCTTTGTGATTTCGACGCTTGCCTATGGAAACTACGCAATCTGCCTAGAGCCCGGTGTGAGGCACGGAAGCTGAGGTTCTGATCTTCGGTAACAACTTGCACAATGTAAGGATCATCATTTATCGTTTCTTGAGAAACCTAGTTGCCGCTTCTCACAATCCAGTTCTGGATTCAGAAACGCCGAGATAGTTCACCGACTACATTGACACAGTGAAGAGAGTTCACCTTTGAACAGCCACTTCTGGGGCAAAGTTTTGGTACCGACACTGCACAGTTTTGAGGATGTGAAAAACAAATAGAAGAGTCTTCTATAATGCCCCACTTGTATGTGAATGTAGAGACTACAATGTGAGTTGAAGAGGTTGAAGATTATCCATTACCTATTGGTCATTTTTTGTGAGGTGCAGATTTGTATATATAGAGTGAGAGAGAGTAAGAGGGTTTAGTTAAAGCTACATCCTCAATTGATAATGGGACTTCCTTCTAGACAACAAGCTAATAATAATATGCATCTTTTTTTTGCACATTTTTTCTTCAAGAGTGGTGGTTGAGGGAGACAATAAATATTTGCATCATAAAATTTTAATTCAAAATTATATTTTTCTTTTTATTTGGTTGCCAAATACACAAAAAGCTTATTATCAATTCATTCTATTTCCAAATCAATATTGGAGTTAAATGTTGGGTTGCCAAACCCGTCCTAAACACAAAAGTGTCTTTTTTAGTCAATTTAAGTCGTGGAAGTCACATTGATTGTAGTGATATCAACTAGGGATGTAGCATTAACAATTATCTATTTCTTTCTAAATATAAACGTACATAAAACATTATATGAATATTTAGAGGTGAATCTTATGCAACATCTATTAAGTATGGTTGAGTTTTTATAATTGGTACTTGAATTGTGAATTTTACTAGTGATATTATGCAATCTTCAAATAGAATAAGATATCTTTTTTGTAGTTAAAGGTCATTTTGGACCATAAAGAATATGTTTTTAGTGTAGAAACCTCTACAAAAATTTGACTCAACAAAAGTTTTGAAATGTTTTTTTTTTGTAAAGGGATTTTTTTACATTTGTTATTTTGGGATTTGATATCATTTTTTAATTAGAAATAAAACTAAATTAATAATTTATTTTATATTAAAAGAATTTATATATGATTTTTTATATATTAAAAATCTTTGTACAAAAAAAAAAAAAAATTATATTGTTAGGTTTATACAAATTTCATGTAACTGACAAAGTAGAGACAATAAAATGTCATTTGTTTGGTCACAAATATGGTGATTATGTGGCATATTATATTGAGCAAATATGATTGAAGAGTCTTGTTTTGTTTATTTTGTTTATTTTTCATTTTTTACTTCACAAGGTTTTTTTAATAAAAAAATTAATGATGATATCCTAATAATAATAATAATAATTTAAACATTAAAAAGGAACTCCATTTGAAATTGTCATTATTGCATGTATGGTCTTTTGTTGACATGCAAAATGGATTTACTTTTTCTGAAATAAAGTTCGCAAAATCAGTAAGATCTAGGGTTTCCAACATTAGTGTTATAATTAATATTCAAAATTTCCTCTGGATGCTCAATTTTATCAAATAGTAATTCTTCTTTACTTCTACATCATAGATTTATTATTAGTTTATAATGAAGTATGATTTCAATTGATTACAAGAATATATTCTAAAAACAAACCATATTAATTTATATATTATGCTAGATGCCAAATTTATTATTTCTATAGTCCACTTGAAAGAATTGAAATAGATTTAATTTATTTATTTTAAAAAAACATATTATTTTTGTTATCTTCTCTTCAATGTTCAAGTAATTTGGCCCATAAGAAAAAAAAATTAGAAGACAAAAGAAAAACAACAAAGAAAAAAAAAGAGAGGTTAAACAAACACCTTTAGAATAATGCAACAAAGTTAAAATTTTAGTGAAGAAGACTTAGAAATTGATTTGGATATACACATTGAAAAACAATAGTTGACAATGTGGTGTGCAAAAGACATGTTTGTTTTTGGTTTAGATGGAGGTGGTTGTTAAGCTAAGATACATTGTAAAACTAAGATTTGTGAAAATTTCACATTCAACAAAAAAATTTATCAATATAATAAAATAAAATGGAATCATAAAAAGAAAAAACTTCTCTAAAAGCAAATTTGATTAATATAGCTCAATTAAATTTTATTTTTCATGCACAAATAATCTCACTTTCATAAGCATATGTTTTTCATTGTTAAAAATATAACTATAAATAATACTACTCAATATAGTTTTAAGAGTTGTAAAACAAAAATCATAAAAAGTTTTAAAATATAGTTATTAATATTTGATTTAGAAATATATATATATATATATATATATATATATAATGATTTAAATATTCTTGTAATTTAAGTGGTAAAAACTATGATAAACTAGAAAGTTAGATTTTCCTACATGAAATTTAGTTTAATTAATAAAATAAAGCCTTATATATTTTGATAGTTGTTTTCCTTTTAGAAGAAAGTCATTGCATAACTTGTTGATTTAAAATATATATATATCTGTTATTTTTTTGACATAAAGTACAACTATCCAGATCTATAAAACCTATTTAAAAATATATATTATTTTGATAAAATAATGTATAATTGGCTATTTTAATTTAAAATAACATATATAAGGTATTGTCAATGCCACCTAGTTTTTTGCTTCTACCCCTACAACCCATCACCTACCACATGCCACCTACACCCTTTATCAATGCTTAATTTTTTTTAATTAATTATACTATTAATATTTATATAATTACTATTTTAAAAGTAAGAATATTTATATACTCTATAAGTCATAGTAAAGTATAATTATATATATGTACATTTTGATTAAACGTTTTAGTTATTTTTAAATTAAAATTAAATTTACTTCTTATATAATCAAAAATAGAAAACAAGTTAGAAAATATAACAAATAATTTGATTGGAATAAAATGAATAAATCAATAAAATAATATAATTTTTGGTAGTTTTAGTATATGTATATTAAAGTACATATATATATATATATATATATATATATATATGGAAATAGAGAAGATGATATTATGAATAAAATCATAGTTTTAGTTGTTAATCATTAAAAATTTGTAAATTTTTTACTGATTTGTAATATTTTAATATTCAACAACACAAGGTAATAAAAGCATAAATAAGGTGAATCAAAAGCTTTGTATACATCGCTTCAAACCTTTTTTGACTTATTTTACAAGTATCTTCAAGATACTTTTATGGTGAAAAATATATATATTGATTGTATGTGATAATTAAAACTTTTCAAAAAACAACTTGTCTATGTACATGATTTTTTTTGGATATTTTAAATTAATTTATTTCAAAATGACACTTGGCAATTGGAAATTCTAGTTGAAAATTAAAATTACAAAAACATTTATGGGTCCTTTAGAATTCTTCACATGAACTTTTTAATAACTAGTATCAATAAAAATATATTAAAAAAATGTGACATTAATAAATAAGTTGCCCACAATCCAATGAAAACCAAAACATTTCAGTGTGGACCAAAGCATACTGTAACGCACAAAAAAATTACTGCATCACCTACATACAACTGCATAGAAAAGACTGTTTCAGTTGAAGTTCCATGTGGCGCAAAAATACACTCTTCGAAATCTTCATCAAGTTTTAGTTACAGCTGATATATAACAAAGTTTATCAGACTATTCTTCTCCACTGCAAATTCATCCACCGAAGTCTTATTTGTGCGTCTTTCAAGCAATGGGTAGAAATAGCACCAATGCTGAAAAGTTGACCAGCTTTGTGAACTGTAGCGTCCAGAGCATCTTAACTTGCTTATGGGGACAAGTGGAGGAAGCCATTAAAGTCCCACAAATTCCCTAAGAGCAGCTAACTTAGTAAAATGTAGAATATCACTTTGAGGATTATCTCACGTGTTTGTGACTTCGTAGACAATATGTCTCGCTAACAACTTCAACTCAGAAAAGCCTCCATAGACTCCAAACCAGGACTACAAAAAACCCCCATCGGGCCATATAATCAAATCGAATCGAATCGAATGAATGATGGCAGTTGTCACAAAAAAGTTCAATTAAAATATACAAGGGCCTATGCGACATCTGTATTCTCACGAACCGTTTCTAAGATAGAAAACAGTTCATACACTCAGCTTCGTATTTCATAGTTTCCAGCCCGAGTTACAGCACGAAAACCTCTGTAAGCGGAGTAATCAACACGGTTGATGTCAACTCTGTCGGATCTTAAACCAGAAAGAGCAACCCCCATGATCTTAAATCCGACCAGAAAAGTTGGATACTCCCGTAGTCGTTCGAGGCCAGCTTCTAACTGCAGTTTTCCACTAAGACATGGTGCCTTGTCTTTGGGAATCCGGCCGATAGTCCAAGTAGTAACCTGCAAAATTCCATTCTAAGTATCACAAGTGATGACAATGCAACCTAACAACCAAGAAATGACTATGTAACATCAACACGCACAGAATTAAAAGAAACATCGATTCCCTTCTCATTCTCTAATCCTCTGTTAAATCCAAAAAGGAGCCGAGACGTATTCTGACGAACATAACCAGTACCTTTGTGGTGTGGTTCGGCAAGACCGAGCCATGATTTGCTGTCAAGTCTGAAGAAGCTACAGACGGAGGTAACACCAACTGAAGCGTGATATTGTCTACAGGCTTGCCAACATTGGCTCGAATTCCCACCATAACAGTAACTGTCACCACTCCTCCGCCGGAACTGAACTGTGGCCTTACATAAATAGGCGTATTCTTGAGATTTTTGATCCTGCAAAAATCCAGGACAGTTGTTGCTTCATTCGGGAATCTATAATACAAAAAAAACCAAATTCGAAGTCTGTCCAGTATAGTACTGTTGTACAAATTCAGTAGCTCCTTGTTCTCCAAAACAGTTGAAATTACTCCAAACAATTTCTGGGCATTTCGAACCCTCTTTGGAAAAATCAAGTATACGACATGGTCATTGAAGGCGTCAACATACTTCAAACACAATCTTGGAGATGCAAAATGGAAACGTGCAGCATCATTACTACGTCATTTACATGCCTGAATTACAAGACCATTCAAATAATACAAAACACCACACAAATAAACAAATTGAAAAGCATGCGTGCATATCAACACCAAAGCCTGAGGAATGAGCAAGGGACCTGTAACTCATGAGCTTGAAAGAGCCATCTGGAGGCACAAAGGAAAGCTTTTGGTTGCTTTCCCATGCTTGAATCCGGACGCATGGATGAAAGCTGACATCATTCAAAATCGAGGGATTTGTGAACGTCAAAGACACATCTGGCATACCCGAAAGCCGTGATGAACCGAGCACCTCCCCGTAGACTTCACATCTGGCAAGAAATCCATCCCTACAACCCACAGAGCGTCAGTAATCTTAATTGTGAAGTGCACTTAAGATAAGACACCTTCCCAATAGCTTAGGCGATCATGAAGAAAGTGGTAAGTCGCCTGGAAGTGAATCCTTCGATATAATTGAATTTAAATACCATAGGTCGATGGAGTTAATTTTAGCACCATATTCTAGAACTCAACTAAAAAAGAAATCTGAATAGCTCCTTGAGATTGTGGGTACATCTGATAACTTGAAACTAAACCAAATCTACAACATATTGTTGATGGACAAATGCTGTAGGAGAGGAATATTATAGCCCGCAACAAATTTTCCTAGGTAACACAGAAAAAATGAATTGCTGTGACCTCTGATGAATACTTTACTCCATAGTATATGGTGATTTTGGTGAAGCTTCGCACAGCTTGTTCCGTGTTTGGTGTAATAAGGTGTCATGAACGACAATTACTTACTTGTTCACTGTGGCATCCATTTCTTCAACGAGATCAAAGTAGACCTCATTCTTGGCATGCTTGATACCACTTGCTCGCCAAGGTACACTCGATGAAGTGGTAGAGGGGAGGGTGCTGCTCAAAGTTGTGGAGGTGCCAGTTACCACACTGATTACTCTACTGACCAAGTTAGCTGGCAGTATCATCTCCTTAAGAATACTCGGCTCCGTGGTCAATGGGAATCCGTGGTCCATCATCTCATCTAAAAGCTGAAGAAAAACAACGCCGTTTTCAGATATTTCGACGGCATATTCGTGGCAGGACGTGATTCGATATATCAAGAAAGTCATACATATTAAAAATGAAAAATTGAATCCATAGTTGAACATGCATTATACAGTGGTCGCACAACAATCTGTTACTATAGAACAAATGATGACACAATGTAACAAACGTTAGGAGTGTTCTAGCAAAGTACAAGCAATTGTCCGATCATTAGTGTCACCTGATAGATAATGACGAAGTTATCCTTGACCAAATCCTCATTAAGGCCACCCAAGTACTCTGTTAGGACATCTGCTACCCTGCCCAAAAACTTCCGCATCGGCGATTGCCCCATCAGACACTTTTTATATCAAGCTTCTAAGTCCTGATTTGCAGACAAACCAAATCTCAAAATCATAAAACAATCGCTTGGATCTGCTGGAATTACATGAAAAGGAAACTCTTAGACCAGCTGTTAATTCTTCACATGACATTCCGAGATTGCTCCAAAAAGCTTACCTCAATGCCGAGCAAAGGAGGCATCTCTGTCTTTGCACAAGCCAAGAAGGTAATACCTTCACGAACAATATGCAACACATAATACGTGGGGGCAGCCACAACTGTTGGCACCTGTATGGTCTCTTGCCTCTCCTACACACATCGACGAGACCACAATCGATTGTGAGAAGCAAACGATTCAGTGCTCAACTACCAGGATTGTCATCTTTATCATAAAATTCATCAAATACAACTACATGAGGAGATCCCATCTTCGGAGCGTTGGGAACTTGTGGGCACTCCCATTGGCAGAGATAATATGATCGGAACCACAAAAGAACTACAAGGCTCCCTTCAAGATGAGAAACGCATACCGAAGGATGTGCCTGTTTCCAGAACCAAGCACAAATAGAGCGATCCACCTGGTGTCCCATCCAATGTTTCTCCAGCATAATTTCCCTGCATTCCCAAAACCCTAATCACAAAATAAACCTTCACCATGCAAACTGAATGGGCACAAATAGGACCTGGAACAAGAATCACCCTGGTCTTGTAATTCATTCTCAGACACGTAACCGTATGATCAAATAAAATAAAAATACAGTAACAGCAGCTGATCTGGACCCAACAAACGGATAATCAATACAGCATGGAGGTTGTGGAATCCTTCACGAATGCGAAACCCACAAAATTATCCAACACAACTACACTAACGAGGGCGGGTTGTTATGCAAAGTTCGACGATTCTGCCCCACAATCTAAAGCAAGACTCAAACCAATCCTCTAGCCCCCGTCACTCAAATTAGCTCAATCTGGCCCAAATAACGAAATCAAAAACTCTGAATTTTCGCAATGTTTCTAAACCGACCCACCGTAGTCGCACACCATTCCCAAATCGCCCGGTTCACAATCACCCCCAAAATTGAGTCGCAAATGCAGCATCGAAGGTCAAAAAATGTACAGAATTCACCGAAGATTGAAGGATTTTCGAGATGTACCCGGTGTCGGAGAGGATGAAGACGCAGTGCAACATGATTGCGAGTCCGGATCGGTCTTCGTGACCTTGCTCGGCAGAATTAGAGACGAGTAAAAGCAGAAACGAGAAAAAAAAAATTAGGGGTCGGATCATCACTCTCGTCGAAGAATGCTCTGGTCTTCCAACACTTGTGAGGAGGGAGCTTGGGACTTGGGGATCTGGATTTAGGGTACCTGGTTTGAGATGTGGGATCTGGGATGGGTACCTGGATTGGTACTCAGATGCCTTGGTGTTAAAAAATTAAGTGAAACAAAACTGGCCTTGTACACCCCAAATCAGGTTCTTTTGTTGTAAATAGTCATTAAATTATATAATATTTCCATCGATATTTATCTTCCAGAGTAAATGGAATATTTTCTTGTAATATTTTCCACTACTGAATAATGTGTCAGAGAGTCATGTTTAAAATCTAACTTGTAAATTACCTTCTTTTTTTCTTCTTTTTTTAATTAGATTTTGCATAAACTTATTTTTGAAAAAATTACTAAAGTTTGTGGATCTTAAAATTTTAATGATAAATTTCATATAAATTCATGTATAAATTTTATGTGGCATGTTTTCGAATCATTCAACCACTTCAATGTATGTTTTATGTTTTTGATAATTATTATAAACATTATATATATATAATTTATTTATTTATTGATTTAAAATATTATTCAGATTTCAAATATATGTTATTGGACATATTTTTAGTATGAATTTAGTATTGTGCACCTTTCAATTTATTGGAGATGTTGTCACTACAAAATAAATAAATATATTTATGGTGACAATAAAAAATATATATAAAGATTAGATAGCAAAATAAAGTTGCATGGACAGCTTGCAATTTATCAATTTTAGAATCTTGAAATCACTTATGTAAGAAATATAAAAAAATAAATCATAAATGTGTATATGTGGAGGTATTTCACTTAATTTTAAACCTCAATGGATGAAAATTTTGTAATTATACAAGGTTTCATAATCTCAGTGGCATTATGCAATTTTATAATTTCAAAGTTTTAGACAAGTCCGGGACAAAAAACGTTCTTTGAAAGAGCCTGCATTAGCTTTGCTAAGATTGCTAATTTGAAATTAGGTAGATTTTTATTAAAATTTTGTTGCAATCTAAGTATGCAAGCATTGGCCTTAGCTGTGACAAAAGATTGCTTGTTTATCTGCATGCTAGTATTGGTTCAAGATATAGGCACAAAAAAAAAAAACTTATTTCAATTCCAATTTTGGACAAAAATCTCAAGGGCTAAAGCATTTTTATTTGTTTGTGGCATTTGTGACAAATACTAGAAGACCACAAGTTCAAATCAATACCACTTTTTATGCAAACACAAATTTCAATTCACAAAGCTTGTTTTAAGATTCAATGCTTCAGATGAATCAATATCAAGAGGAAATCCAAGGAACTTTGTGGACGTTGCTAAAACAAAATCCAACTAGGCTTTGCCCAACCCACAAGTTCAACATTATCTTCCTTTGATTGCTTTTGGGTTTTTGCCTGTTTGGCAGCAATAACTCCAAAATGGTATATTAAACAAAATTGAGAAGTTGGAATTTCTTGTTAGCCAAGGGTCGCGGCAATGTAACATGCAGATATAACACTTTCATACATAGATATGAAAGTAATCAAATGTACAATAGATTTGAATACTTCCAGGAAAAGAACACTTCTCCTCTTTAAACCTTTCTGGTAAAATGAGACAGATTTTGGAGATGACTCACAATGCTCAAGAAGCGTATTTCAAGACGGTGATGGTCTACGCTTCCACTGGAACAGTTTTGTTATTAAACAAATTCTGACTCATCAATTACACTTAATTACCGAAATAGCAGGCAAGCCCTTTTTTAAACCTAATATTGCCACTATGTATAGACTTCATTGCCTACTACGGCCAAGGCAAGGTACCCACACAAGTCTCATAATGTTCAGAGGTAGCGTACCTTGCAAGCTTGTTTTGCAACCAGAGCGGCAGTAGACTCTCAAGATGTCTCAATGTAACTTCGGAATACTTTTGAGACCCTTAAAAAAACATGTTTTGAAGAAACATTTCTACTCTAACTTGGATATATTTCGGATGGTGGGGTAACACTACCTTTGACCACAACCATCAGGTCACTCAAGATGTTGCTATTTCTCCGGCTCACGCAACTAAACAACGACGGTATTATTTATTGAAAGGAGGATTCAACAAGACTCCATGGGGGAAGCAGTCTACATTCTCAACCAGCTATGGGAGATGAATGGTTACGCACTGTAAAAATATACAAACCTGTCAAAGTTGTGTGGTTTCACTTATTCTGGGGGAAGTTCATGAATTGGGTCATGAGCAGGGAGCATCGCTTCTCTACGCAGTTCCTTCGACGTCTTCCGGTTCTCCGTGAAGGGTCACACTCGACCCCCGAAACGCTGATGCTAAGTTTGCTGATATGTATTCGGTGCCATCAGGTAAAGCTTCTTTGGATAATGCCTGTCCCAAAGGAAAAACATAAAAAAAACAACCTTCATCGTTACTACGTCGTTGAGATTCTCAGGCAGTAGGTGATAGATTATCGGTTTTAAACAAGAGCAAAAGAGATTATGTGCTTTCGGTCCTCAAATGAAGTGGTAAATGAAGTTGGAGCAATGTTTACCTGAGCATAAGCATCCGATTTTAAGAAATCCTCCAGAGCTTCCTCTGCAAACCAGTGCAAGCAATTTCAGAACTTGCGCTCTTTCTAACTGAGCGTTCAGAGCTTTGCTGGATGTTTCGTGTGGTAACGGAGTAACGATGAAGGTTCGATGATCAATCACTCCCTTCTTCCCTAAACACTTGCAACACACCGATGACAAAACGCACCTGATGGGAGACGAGCAATGAAACCGTGCGTATATCCTTTGCCCATGGGAGAAAAGTTGGTCCCTACAGGCAGTCGCGTAATCTCACGTCAGCTGGGCCGCAATCATATTGGCGGCACAGTATCCAAATTTAAAGAGATTTTCACATGAACAAACTACCGAAATACATGGGTTACACACTGACAGACAAAAGTGCTTCATACAGAAAATTGGCAACTCAAATTTTGACGTGGCTTGCTGAGATCCTAATTTAAACCAAGAGCACACAACGTGAACGTTGTACATTTGATGAGACCGAGAATGGATGGTGCCGAGAGATTCAGCAAACCAAGCACTATGGTTGGTAACAAGTATCGTAAGCTTTGCAAGAAAGCATCACCTGCAGTCAACTGGAACATAGAATCAGGATCCATGGACGCCGCCAAGTCGCGAAACGATTGCAACATGGCATCGATGGATTCTTGACTGGTACCCTCCTTCACTTTGAACAGAACAAAGTGATCAATGCCTCCGCACAGTGCCTACAACGCACTCACACATAGAAGACAACCCTTTGCTTAGAATTTATCAGGAGCACCCTCCACTGCGAAGCTCCAACTCTCTGCCACAAGCCCGGAAAACCAGAATCCTGCTGCGCAAGTAAATGAACAGAAAAATAAATAAATAAATAAAACCATGAGGTATAATTTGGTATTCTTACGAACTCACGGCCAAAGATTGCTTCCACGTCGTCGGCCACTCCGTCCTCAATGTCCAACATCACCAAGCCCTGTGTGCCAACCAGGGTAGCTTGATAAAATTGAACGCTCAAGTCAGACGCGCACGCAGAAGATCCTCAAGAAAAATGGACTAATACTCGCGATGCAAGAACAGACTGTAACCCTAGATATAGCGGGAGCAATTGCGAGCGCTGCGGGCTTGAGCGAATACATTGTAGTAGGGAATAACAAGGTCAACAGCAATTCTCTTCCTCTCGGGACTCTGCATGTAGAGCTCCACATGCTCCTTCGCCATGAACCTTGCGAAGAGTGCGTGAGTGACCCCATCCACCGTTTTCTCCAACACTGGACCTGCCGCACGCATCAGGCCAGCATCAGGAGCTCATCCATCACCCCCCACAAACACACACACACACACACAATATCATTGCTGCTAAAGTGTGATTTCTGTCAAGGAAACCGAAAAAGAAGAGAAAATCGAAGAGAAATTATACCAACTGACAAGTAGATAACGCCTTGGGAGGTATACTGGAGAGTGAACAGAGCTTCCAACATCTCCCGCTCTTGCTCCTCTGTGAGCTCGTCCTTCATCCGGAAGAATACCACGTGATCCACCACCTTCCTGCATTCCGAATTCCCAAGTCCAGTTCGAGCACTTCAGTGACAATTCCAAGCATTGAACGAATAATGCCTCACCCTGAGAGAGAGAAATAGGTGCGTGACAAACCGTGGAGCCTTGACCGTCGTCTCGTCTCTTGCCATCTTATCCTCACTGCGACGTCTCAGGTGTTGAATCTCTCACTCAAACTCTGCGAGAAAAACCCCGCAACGTATCCGTCTGCAACAGGTTGAAACCCACAGAATCACGTCGAATTGAGGCAACTGAAACCAGCCACCAGCTCCCACCCACTATGACCCACACAGTCTGGCTACAAAACTCTCCGAGCTCGACAAATGCTCACCCGAACCTGCACGCATAAACCAAATGCCAACTCACCAGCGCTTGAATCTATAGGCAGTGAGCTTGGTGGCGAGAAGACGATGTAACCTCCGAAGGCAGAAACAATAAAACAAAAAATTGTCAATGTTGTAAAAGAAAGTGGAAAATGCGACCGACAAAGCGATGAAAGTGCAACAAAATCATGTCAGATTTTTAGTGGTGATTGGCGTTATCTAGAAGTCCAATGCTTGGACTGATTGAGTGGCCTACGAGCTCTGCAAGACGGGGAGGGGGAGTCAACAAGCAACGACGCACACCTCAAAAAGCCATTTTATTGTCAGAAGTGAGCATCCTCCAGCGGCCACAGAGGTGATGAGGAGAAAAACAAAAAAAAACATAAAAAAACCACGCCTTTGCGTCTTGGTTTCTGCTCCGAAAAAATACACTTGTGTATACTCATTAATCTGTCTATCACCACTCCATCATCCCCATGTTGTTGCTTTCGTTTACTTCTAGAATCAAAGGGAGGTGTACCCAACTGCTACAAGTGGCGGAGAAATCACAAACTAGCTCTCTTTGTACTGGAATGTTGCGTTCTAAGCCTGTATATTTCTTTCATGTTTTTTGTGATGAACTGCATCGGATTGTTACCATTTTTGCTTACTTGATATACAACCATTGTGCTCTCTAAATATATTTCTTGTGTTGTAGTTTAACTTAGCTTACCCCACATGGTATGAGAGTGTTGTTGTGCATGCATATTTTTACTAAAATTGTTGTGTACTATGTACGTTAACAAGTGACAATAGAGGATATAAATATACTTTCTAAAAAATGTGTTGATAAAAAAATATGTATACACATCCTATTAGAAAGCTTCTACAAAAAAGAATGTTATTTGCTAAGATTTATTGAAGAAAGAAACCACCAATCTTGAACAAATACAATAATAACAGATTTCTTGTGTTTTGATATAGTGCAAGTAAAAGTGGCCACAAAAACTGTAATATAGTGGAGAAACATGGTGGTCTCATGCCATTGTATCCATACATACAACTCAATCTTAAATGTTGCATGAGCTAAAAATTATTAGTTTTCCATATCTTGGCAAACTCTTATGTGAATACATTTGTTTTGAATTTTTTGTGTAATTATTTGGATAATAAATCAATGAAAAGAAAGGGCTTCAAAAGTAACACTAGGTTTGGTAATAAGTTGATGCAAATTCTTTTGCAGTCTAACAAAATTTGGAAACTATGTCAATCCAATTGTGTGTAATTGTTTGTAGAATGTGTTGTCAATTTCAAAACACATTAAGAATAAAATGAAGTGAAGAAGCTCTTTAGTAAATGAACAAGAATTGTAAAATATGATCACGGCAATAACAATGAAAAAGAGCTTGTGAACCACAGGCTCAAACAAGAATGTTTTGATTATTTTCAATTACTGTTTATTTTAAGAATTTTCTTTTTTGCTTCTCTCATTACAAAATCTGTTTCAAATTGAATGTTTCATTTCTATTGGTTATTACAGATATTGTAAAGTTTTAATAAATTATTACCTGTTTTTGTAAAATTATTTTCAAAGTAAAAACAAGTCTTATCCAACAACCAAAAGGAAATTTGAAACCAAAGAATTTTAGGGCTTTGTATTTCTGCCTGTACAGTAAATTGTAACAAAATGAACCACTCATTCATCTTATTTTGTTTAAGGTTTTTTATAATATAGATACTTCCATGCTTGTCATTTTAATTTTTTTCCACTATCAAATTTAAAATATAATACCAACTAAATGTAAACAATATAAAGTAAAAATAAATAAAAATTATGACTTCAATTCATAAAAATTATAATTAAAATTAAAAATGTTAGAACAATTATCTTGATGTAATTTGTGCAAGTATTGAATACAGTGTTAACCCAATATAAGTATGGATATGTTTAAATATCACAAATGATAAATATAGTAATAATAACAATAATAATCTTGAAGTTGTTCGGCTAATTTTTCTGAAATTTATTTATTTATATTAGGAGCATACAATTTGCATTTTGATTCATGTGTAATGAGAATGGTATTACATGGATCCTATGCATTTGCTTTCACATATAGTACATCCATAATATCACCACAGCATAGATTTTAATAATAAATCATTTGATCAATGGTTTGTAACCATCCATAATAATCAACTACTTTAGCATTGTAAATTATAAACTTGGTTATCTCCAGAGTCAATTATTAACACCTTTTGGTGATTTGATTTAAGTGCTTCTAAACCAATTCATTACTGATTGATTCAAAAGCTTCCGAATAATTAGTTCAACATTCTTTTTCAACCACAACGAATCATTCAACTCACAAGTATGTGGAAATACAAACTTCAAGTTTTTTGTTTTATATTTAGTTTTAGTTTTAAAGAAGTTAATTTGACAAATGAAGAAAGAACGCATCTTTACAATAGTACTTTCATCAGTGTGTTCTAAAATCCTTATTGCTTGGAGTTTCAAGTAGAACAAGTCCAATATAACGCAAAGAAGTACCACATAACTGTTGTAAAAATTATATGAATATTACAGACAGCAAAATTAAATGCTGTTCTTTATTTCATTTCCATAGTAAGCTGATTATGGCACGATCATAAGTAAGTCCCTCATAATGATTTAGCGACTTTATTTTCTCAGATGCCACACTACTGCTTCCTTAAAAACAATTAAATTAGAATAGGAAGCTGTTTCAGAAAGACCCACACGGGATTTGTTTTCTTGAGCAAAACTATCCAACTTCCTACAAATATGTGTAAAATCAATGAAGCTGCAGCAACATCTGAGAAAATGCATTTAAGAAAATCTAAAAAACCCTTGAATCGAACTCGTGAGGCGAAGCTCCGGGCCTGATCCGATGGGGGCCACAGTGCCAGCCCTCTATCTTAGTCTTTCCAATGTTGATATTTCATGCGGGATCACTGCTTTGAATCTCTCTCGGGACAAATCTCTGATCGATGGTGAGCGATATACTCGCAGAAATTACGACAAAACTCCCCGTTCTGTGGCACCGACAACTGCTTCCAGACTGATGTGTTTCTTTTGTTATCGATCTCTAGGCCTCCAGCAGGGCGACAGAACGACGCCCGGCCACGAAATGAGAGCACTCAGACCCATTCTCAGATTGTGAGAGAGCTCGTTGCTTTACTCTTCATCGCCGTTGCTGGCCGACTTCGCTTGCCAGAAGGACTTCCTGCAGATCAACAAGCCATCGCTGTCCTGAGGACCCACCTCGGTGTCGAAGCGGGTGCACTCCCACCGCATCGCCTTGCCCAATAAGTCAGCCTGCTCCAGATACGCATGGCCGTCCCTGAAGATCGTCAGGGCGCCGGGTCTTAGAATCCTGTCGAACTCCAACATGACGTCTTTCATTTCGCACCTGTGGCCCTCGGCGGTGAAAAGCCCTGCCACATGCAGGAGATCGTAGGTGCGGGGGTATGTTGAGAACGCCTCGCACCAATCGTTGTAAGTTCCGATCAGACCCCGATCGTATACCACGCCGAGAGTGTTTGGCGCGTAGGGCGAGTTCACGTTCATCACCCACACTGGATCGTCAATTAGAGCTGCGGCGAAGCCTCCGTAGACGGTGTACGCGTCCATCACGTTTCGGATCACGCCCTTGCTGAACTCGGGTACGATGCGCTTGTAGTGTTTCACTCTCTCTTTCCACACTTTGGTGTCCTCGTTGAATTTCCCGGTGCTGGATCCGTGGATGGTTCTCAGCCTCTCCGGTGCGGTGCTTAGCCTCTCAGGCCACTTGGGCGTCTTGCCCACGGCAAGGGCTTTCATTCCTGCGTTCTGGGGCACAATGCAGGGCCTCATGGGCACGTACCACGACGCGTCGGGCTCAATGGCGTCGTCACACAAAGGAGGGTAGACATCGTCCTCCCTGTCCTCGTAGCACGAATTGTCCATCGGCTTCTGCCACACCGCCAGATCACCTTTCATTGCGTACTTCTTGTAGCACATGTTGCCAAGCAGAGTCTCGATCTTGTCCAACAGCGTCTTCTCGGCTTCCTCGGTGGTTTCCCATCCCTTCCAGTGCTCCTGGTAGTTGACCGGGGGCCCTGACAGCACCCAGAAACCTCCCGGACGCAACACGCGGTCCACCTCCAACAAATACACTCCACCGAACTCGATCCAAGGAATCAAGCATCGCGAGCAGTGGGCCATGTCGAACGAGTTGGAGGGATAGGGCATGCGCTGCGTGGAAATGATGCCCAACATCGCCGGAATACCCCTCTCCAGCGCGAACTGAACCTGGGCCTCGTGATTATCTCGAGGGGCCAAAGACATCGTCAGGATGTCTCTGCTCAACAGATCTCCTCCCCAACTGGCAACACCACAACCAGTGTCCAAGGCGGTTCGCACGCTTCCATCCTTTACCCCTGGAATCAACTCTGCCATACGATCGACGTACTCCGTGACTCCGTTGGGAAACATTGTACCACCACCAGGGAAAATAAACTTCTCACCGGTCTTCTTCAACCAGTTCTGGTTGGCCTTGACGCTGTTGATCCATTCATAGGGTACATTTCTGCAATTATCAACCCCACCGACAGACTCATCAGGAACCGTCAATAGTGCTCATATCGGACTAGTTGCAGATTTGATGAATGGTTTATTAGCACTTCGAAGGCATCAGTAACGGCCGCGTCGAACTTACTTGTACCAGCATTCATCCTTGCTCTTGGGCCAGGGGATGGGCGTTTTGTATCCAGGTGGAGGAGGAATGAGGCACTGTAATCGTTCGGCGCGAGGAGGACAATGGCGCTCCCTGAAGGCCAACCTCTGCTTCTTGTACCTATTCCACCTCTGCGATCAACGGCAAAAGGATTAGAAGAAGAAATTGTATCTGAAATGGACCACAGCTATGGCGTCCAGACGAGGGGACAACGAACATTGAGGTCGAGTTACAGCACTTACCTTAGGATCCTGGCAAGGAGTCATGTCTTGGGTAGTGATGTTGCACACGGGGAACGCCTCAACCTTTTGCAAAGGGATGCACCCCGATCTGTCCATAACAGAAGATCCATCCGAGTTCTCTGGAATGGCATAGTAGGCCCCTCCGAGGTAAAACGAGACACCGCAAAGCGCCACCATAGCAAGAATCATGGGTCCCATGTTCTTGCCTAAGCCGAACTGGCTAGGCCCTTTCGTATTCTCCTTCATCGTGGAGAACAAAATCTCGTCGACGGCTCAAAGGTATTCGCTTCTCAGGGGACCTGAATCGAGGCAACGATCCACAATTGAGTTATCCTTCAGCACATGCCAAGTTTCGTGACAGAATTAAAAAGAGTAGTTTGGAAGTCCTGCGTGACATGGGAGATCGTCGGCGCTGTCACCGGTCAGGTTCAACAAATCCAGTCATGATTCATTCACTCAGAAAAACACCCATTGGAGTTAAGAAAGTCAGTATCATCCTTTACAAAAGGAAAGTCCACAAGGCCTTATAGTTGGTTGTCCGATGAAATGGGCCCGACGATGTATTATCCGAGCCGATCAGAAAGGGAATAGCGCGCTGTCTGAGTACACATTGAGAAGAAACATGCGTGAAGGGAAGAGAAGCAAAAAAACACACTTAAACCCGAGAGAAAGAAAACGCAGCGGCGAAGTGCTCTAGATCATCCGAACCCACGACACCGTAAAACGCTGCAGGTAAGCATTTCACTCATCAGAAGTCACCATCAGTCCATACCCACAACAACCAGGCACCCTGCTTTCGATCTGAACTCGTCTGTCGAGTTTTCAGGCGGAGAAGTTCCTCTCCACAAGAGGCGGAGAGCAAAAATGAATGCGGCTAACTACGACACACTCGCCAGGGGGGCTTGAGCTCAGGATTACAGACAGAGCCGCCAGTGCCGAGACGCTGCCCTCCCCAACATGATCGTCGATCATTACACCGCCGCTAAACACACGAGGACTCCCTAATAATGAAACCCACATCTAGGAACGACGCAGACCTGTTCGCCGAAAAATTAGATCCCGTGTCCGGGGACTCGAGATCTCCAGCAGAATGGAAGATAAAATTGCCGGTAAAGCACCTAAAAGGAGATAAACTTGCGAAAACGGCCGAGAGAGGAATACATTTAGAACAACAGAGGAGGAGCAAGCAGTAGGCGGGGGGGACGTCGCAACCCACCTGAGGAGAACCTCCTGGACGAGCCTGAGGAAAGGAAACTCTCGTGCCGAGGCTTTGCTCCAACCTGGAGCCAGCGAAGCTTGCGTCGGTCGGAGACGAGTACGGAAGTTAAAGAGGGGAGGGGAGGGTCAGATATCAACAGGTTTATGAGATTCGAAATTCCAGGAGCTCACCTCGGCGAAGTGAGGTCCTGGCTCCTGATCCAACGATCGCAAATCTGATCGGACTAGTCAACTGGAAGAGTAGCAGACCTGGAGCCTACGATGCAACTGAGGCCTGTCCCAGATTGCATTATGAAGGCGCGGATGTTCTCCCTTTTGCACCTCTCCCCTTATCGTCACCCTCGCGACTACTTCGGAAGTCGAGCTGCAGCTTTTGCCCCCTCAACAACACTGGTTTCACCTTCCTCGCCGGGTCAGATGCAAAACCTCCAGTTGGATCTCATCCGCTTCCACTGATGAACAACAATAGCAACAGCAGCGTTGTCTGTCTGTTCGGCTACCAGTCCTGCTTCTTTACGATGGTAGATCCGGAGTTGATGCAACGTGGTGAAAATGGTGTGGGCCCACAGCTGTTTTTAAGCGACTTTTCCCTCCGCTCAGGTTTCACTTTTGAGGACCGTGATTAGTAAGGCATCATCCCTTGCCATGCTTCGGCATTTGCTGGCTCGCGCGGCCCATCACGCTGGTGCATTGTTGAACGGAGGTGGGGGAGTCGAAAAAGAAGCCCCGCTTGCGGTCCTAATGCATTGATTGTGCAGCAACCATGGCTCTCACTCTCTGTCCATCACAACCGTCCTCGCCCCCCTGCTAGAGGCTATTCTACTTTGCTGCGCTTGGTTCTGCGCAAATAGTTCCGTAAAACCTCATCCCATCTATCTACGTATCTATTTGTCTGCCCCCATTTCTGAGCCTGTTTTTTTCACTTCTCCAAAACCTCTAAATTTGCACTTGCCATGCGAATGGGAATCAACAGCTCAGATAGGATTCATGGCGTTTCCACAGAGATAACATTCAGGGTGTGTTTATATATTTATATATATATATACTTTTGAGTTATCCGATTCAGAATGCAAACATTCTAGAATCTCATATTGATATATGTATGTGTATATATATATATATATAGAGAGAGAGAGAGAGAGAGAGAGAGAGAGAGACTTGTGTGTAAGTATGTGTGTTTGAAAATATATGAGAAACATGGTCTTTAATGAATGAGTAACTGGCTTTAAACATGACTTTGAATGTGAGTTTATTGAAATGTGTGATTTTTTTTATTATTATTTTTATTGGGCACTGGGTTTGTGGTGAAAACTTCGGCTGGTTTGTCGAACTGCTAGAAAATTGAATTCTAGTACATTGGATTGTGTGTGTGTGAATTTGTACTTTGAGGTGAGGGTGTCTATGCTTGTGTACTAGACAATCACACAAACATGCCTACTTGTGGTGTGTTTTAATTATGAATACTGTTTGTTTGTTTATTTTGTTTACATTTTGTTGTTGTTGTGGATATACTTTCAAACATGTCAATTTCTCAAAAAGGAAATTGTAATGGATGTTGCCATGTGCATTGTTGTATTGTATTGTCATTCATACCAAGGTATTGAAAACAACTTTAGACCTTCTATTGATTTTATACCAACATTTCTTTGAGCATTATTCAGAAATAATCACTTCACATACTATCATTTTTTTGAAACATAATTTTTTTTCTTTATTTATTTTTGACAAAACTGGGGTGTACCCATCTTGCAACACATACTTTGAGTACAAACTTTAACTAAATGGTAAAACATACCATTCTAAAAATATCATTTATGCTATTAAAAGATTCAAAGTTTGCTTTATATCAACATTATTTATTCATGTGAAGAAACACATGAAAAGATTATCTATTGGATTTATTTTCTGGTTTAAAATTGAGGAATAAAAAAAATAAAGGAATAAAGAAATAAAGAAATAAAAAACCAACTAAATAAAAATGCACATAGAGATTCAAGTAAATTGAAAAAAAAGTAAACTATTTATCTGATGGTTTGGTTTACGAGATTTCAAGGTGAATATGTTCCCATTTACAAAGATTGATTCTATTAATGACGCAACATGGATTCTACACAAAATAAGTATAAATAAACAAATAAGTGAATAAACAAATATACATAAGCCCTAATTCAGTTACTTAACGGGGTATGACCGGACGGTCACCGGGGCTGAAGAAGAATACGGCCAACCAAGCACGGTCCTGCCATGTCAGAGAAGGTAGATACCCAGATGCTGGAACAGTCTGTCACGGACCTCAATCGAAGAGAACGCGGATGGTCGAGGGATGGGCAATTATAATGAGGCCGCGTCGTCCTGCCAGGTTCGGTTGGTGTGAGAACGGGTCCTCGCAGACAAAGTCGCCGGGCCCGTCCAGTCCAGCCAGGTGCAGTCCAGGGTGGACTCTGGATGAATGAATTACAGTATTCGTTCAATGGATGACTGAGCTCTGACTTGACCCCGGATGTAGGCCCTGGTATCATTGCGACCGTGCTCTTCGTCCTTCTCTGGGTATATTCCACCAGGGGAGCAATGTTCGCCAACGTTCCCTATAGTTCCCTACGTTCCCAATCCTTCTCAAGTATGTGAATAGATATATTTACATGTATTGGCAGAAACGTTTAACATTGGTCATAGAAAAGTTGTTTATAGATAATAAACTAGAGGTCTTTCTGCAGGTTGTGCACGGCTTTTTTCTGGTTAACAATCTGTTTGATTTTGGTCAATGAGAAGGCTTCTTTGTCTCTATGTTTTATACGATAAATATCTAACTCTCTCTATATATATATATATATATAAATAAAGTATTAGGGTGTAAATTTTAGTTAAGAGATACGTATATGGTATTCCTCTGTTTCTTATGTTGAAATACCCCACAATATGTTGTTAGTTATTGCTAGATTCCTGGGTACACTTACTTGAGGGAAGGGAAAGAGAATAAGAGGGAAGAGGACAACTTTGGGCTCTAACTCATTTTAGTAAAACTGTCACTTGAGATGAGTTATTCGTGTGGTACTAATTTTAAAGCTCTCTTCATTATGGCCACAAGTTGAATAGTTGTGGGTCTTTATGTTGGTTTTTTAACACTGAAGTGCATGTACATTTGTATGGTTAAAATCATTCGTTCTGTACTGTCACCAGAACATGATTTCAGCAAAATTATTTTGGTAACTTTGCAAAGCTTTAATTCATTTTTGGCTGTGAATTGGTTTCAGCTTTTCCAGAAATATAGAAATGAAAAGTTGTCGTGTATTTATTGTTTTGTAGTATGCTCGCAAAGCGTGATTTTATGTGAATTTTAAAATGTTAGAATTATGCTGTTTCAATTTTGGTTTGCAGTGTTTGATATGTAACTTGTTGTTGTTGTTGTTGTTGTTGTTGTGTGTGTATATATATGATTTTTTTTAATGTTATGAGATGTACACAAATTACTTTAATGTATTGTAAAATTGAGTTGGATTATTTCTCTGAAATTAATAAAGTACAATATAACATGGTTTTTGGTCATGACTAATAAAGTACAATATAACATGATATAACATTCAAATAGTATTGATGCAACATGAATTGTGATGGATGCCAAAAATCACAAGCACATTTTGATTTTACAGATTGTTTGGGAGAAACCATATCACAATAAAATTTGTTCTCATCAAATGTGTCTTTGAAGGAGAAAGTAAACCACAAATCACATTTAGTTTTTCTCAAAATTTAGTCATTATATCTTCTTTTGGTTGTTAAAAAACTTTAAAAAAAAAATGAAATATTTGCTTTGTCTACAGAAAAATTATTCTTTTGCTATAGATAATAGTTATACTAAAGTGATAATCATGTTCAAAAACATATTTCAGACCTTGACTTATTAAAATCTAATTATTATTATACATACTCACTTTTTGATGTGATGTGGTTCTAATCACATATTTTGTATAACATTGCAGTAATAATGATTTTATTAATGAATATATATATATATATATATATATACATAAATATAAATAAATAACACTAATTCAAAATATGGACATCATTTTTTTAATGTATGTTGACATTTATTTTTAATTTCGATTTTATTTCACTAGTATACATTCAGTCATTCATTTTCTAAATATCTTGATTAATTTTTAGTTATTAATTTATTAGTTTTAATCATCATGCAAAAACCTGATTAATAATAAAGATCACATTAGAATATGTTGAATTCAATATTTTTTCTTATACAATGCATAAAATAACTGAATATGCTGTAAAAAAGAATATAATGTACACGTGGATAATTGAATTTGAACAATGCAAGAAACTCAATTTTTTAAAATTAGAGCAAATCCAACTAGTTTGAACTATTTTGGATGTATGGTGGTAGAAATAGACTGCTTAAAGAATATATATATATATTTTTTCCTAATAGAAATGTGAAACAAATATAGATTTATTATAATGTTGTAACTGAGTCGAAGCATAATTTATTTATTGAAAAAAATAAAAAATAAAAAACCAAAAATCAAAAAGCAGAAAATAGGTTTGTAAAAATTATTACAACGCTCAATTTCTAAATTTTATATTTCATGTATATAAACCATGATTAATTTTATTTTTTCTATTTTTTGAATTCTAAAATAAAAATTCATTATATAATATCTAGAATGTAATTCCACAAATTTAAAGATAAAATGTATATATGTCTTAGATATATATGGCACATGAATGCAGAAGATGGCATATAAGAGTGATTTGTCAAATAATGCATTGGATTAAGTTATGTCTTATATGGGTCTTATTTGAATGAAAGTAAGAGAATAAACAAACACCATTCAAATAGAGTGATTCATAAAATATTCTTACATGATTTTGAAATCAGAATAATTAACAAACAGGAATAACAACTTTTTAATTGAAATTTTGAACTTATTAAGAAGAAATTTAATGTTCTAAATAAATGATCATGCAGACATTCAAGTTTTATATGGTACTATACCATAATAGATACATAGAATGACTAAGAAAGCACAAATATCACTCTGGATCTAAAATTTAATACACTTTATCATAACATTGGAAATAATCACTTGACGTTTATTTAACAAATTAACAAGTAAATTCATTATGTAATATAAAAATAGCCATAAGATGATGATTTTATTATAATTTATTTATTTATTTATTATTATTATCATTATTTTTTTAAAATATAAATATAAATTATAGCTATACACAGTCACAAAATATGTTTTTTAAGATGATTTGTAAAAAAGCATAAGATAGTAGATATTATTGATAAATATAAAGCTCAATCAATGTTAAAGTGGCTTGCTCAAACATATAGTATAGATATAGCTACACCGCTAAAG